GTGAAGTTGCTCACTTCCTGAGGCACTGCTCTAGTTCAAGCCCTCATCTTCATTCACACTTGCTAGTCTCTCTGTCCACCCAGCCAACAAATATGTACAGACTGGCTACTGTGTGCCACACAGTGTTGCAGAGGCCGAGGACACAGGGCAAGCAAACACCAACCTGTTCCTAACTATCCTCCCAGCAGGCTCCTCCCTGCCTGCATAGCTTTCATCCGGGCTGTCTTCACCGGTCCTCATCTGTAGGTGCTCAGTTCAAATGTCACCTCCTAGTTAGGCCTTTCCTGGTTACACTACAGTAAGGCACCTTCCTTCTTCCCCTGTTCTAGTGCTGCCACATGTTTCCTATCTGACTTGTCAACTGGAATGAATGCCCCATGAGCACAGAGACCATGCCTGCCTTCTTTTCTTTTTCAGAAATTTTTTTATTGGGAAACAGTGTTTCTCCAGGACCCATCAGCTCCAAGTCCAGTAGTTGTTTCAATCTAGTTGTAAATGCCTGCCTTCTTTACTTCCTTCATCTCCAGAGCTTAGAAGGGTGCTTGGCAGAGGACACTCTTGTAATTATTTGCTGAATGAATAAAACTTTCGTTTTGAGTCTTGTCTTGCACAGTGCTGGCAAAATTATCTTTCCACAATAACAAGTCTTGCAAAGCTTGAAACCTTCTGTGGCTCCTAGTTGGGCACAGCTTGTCAAATTTTTCCAATTTTTTTTCACTTTGTATTCAATGCCCAGCCCTAATGCCGGGTCTAATCTCTTCTCCAAAATATCAGAGAGGCAGTGAATTGAAATGGTTAAGAGTGTGGGCTAAAATTTCAGCTCCACCACCTACTAACTTATCAGACAACTGACTTTAGACAGATTTGGGCCTCAGTTTTCTGTAGATCAAAAGTATTGAGAGTCATTCCTGGCACAGAATACTAAATGTTCTTTTCCCTTGCCACAGCCTTGCACGTAGTCGCATCGATCTACTCCTTCTCCCCTAAACAAGCCATGTTCCTTCACACCCCACATACTTTTTTCACACGTGTTACTTTGTAAGTCTACAACTGACTCACTATGACTGCATGTTTATTAGTGTGAAGTTCCTTAGAGCAAAAATTTATCTTCAATTCTTTCTAAGGTATGAAATGCTGATTCACTTGATAAATGTTACAGCAGGATCATTACCTAATATTAATCATTTTAATAGTTTGTACTTACATAAGAAAGTTCAAGGTAAACCTTTAAAGTTTATGTGGTTTTTCCTTTTCTATTGACTTAAATGCTGACTTCTAAGAATAACTGAAGGATTAGAAAGCTTTGTCCTCCACAATTTTGCAGGCTCTCATCTTCCACCTACTCCTTTCTCACCATCATTTACAACAGAAACACCATAAATACTGACACCAAGGCAATCAAAGTGATCCTTAAATACTATATTAAATGAAAGGGGCTATTCTTACTCCTAATAATACTGATAGATCTTGCCTCTGTCAGTGATTACTGGCAGGAACTTGTCCAGTAACATGGAGAAACACTGTTTTCTGTCTGCCCCCGCCCTCCTTCCAGGGAGAAATGTTGAACGTCACAGGTTAGGGCCAACATATTATCTCTAACTAGAACCAGGTGGAAAACAAAAGTCAACATTGTAAATAAAAATGAAATTGGTGGGTAATTTAAAGTTTGGACTATTCCGAGGGCTTGGGAGGTTGAGTGGTTTGCCAAAGGGATAGAACCCAATTAGTTCAAGGATAATGGGTTCTCGGAAGCCTAGGAAAGGCAGGGGGAAAGCTTGCCTTTCAACATATCGCCCGAGGCAAGTCCCATTCCTGTGAGAGAGAATACCTGCCGGGCCTGGATCCTTCCCTATCCTCACCACTCTAGCCTAATTCCATCATATTATGGACTAGGTAACCATTCATTACACTGTGTCCTGGCTTGGAACAACCAGCACATTAGCGTTGTTTCAATGGGAAGATGTGTTCCCATTACTAAACAATTGGCTTATAGAAGACTTTTTGGAAAACGTCTCATACATAAGCTAGGGACTGCACAGCGTTGTAACCAGTTCCCTCTGGAGAGGATTTGCCAAGCATTGTATCCTAAGTTTTGCAGTAAGAAGAAGCCAACCTCACTGAAATGAGTAATGTAGGATACCAGGCCAAATTCTCTGATCCAAATCTGGGTTAAGCAATAAATAATAGAATGGCAAGAAAACAAGAGGAGACTAGCTGAGAAATGGGAGCGACTGGAGGCTGAGAAGGCTGGACTCGACGCACCAAGGTCTGAAACCTGGCTCTTGGGAAGCAGCTCCCTTTCTCTGACTGCCCTTCCCCCAACAGCCCAGGGCTGCTCTTACCACTATTTAGATCCCAGCTCAGATGTCACCACCTCAGAGAACCTTCCCTGACTATCCATTGTCAAGACCACCCTACCCTCATCCTGATTTATTTTCTTCTCTTCATAGCATTTAACTACTATCTGAAATCAACTTCTTGCTCCTTTATTATCTCTCTTTCCCTAAAAAGACATAAACTCCATGAGATGTTTCACTGATGTCATGTTCAGTAGTATATACCTAGGGCCTAGCACACTGTGTGGCACGTGGAAGGTACACAACAAATATTTGTTAAATAATAGGGCTGTTGTATGAGGCTTTAGTGGTGAAATAAATTACCTACCTACCTACCTACCTACCTACCTACTTACCTACCTGTGTCTGGTACAGTGCTGCTATACAGCAGCCCTTAATAAATATTACAAACGAAGTAAAACAGGACGATACTCTTATCAGTCAGCAAGTATTTACTAAACAACTTATATGTCTCATAGCACAGGAGAAATCAGGAGCATAAAACATAGTCCTTCCAGGAGGTAAAGCAAAAATCAGGTTGATTGCAGCTTAAATGCTAACTTAAAGTCGGCCAATAGGTGAAGCAGTTATGTCACGCGATAAACTTCTTTAGTCTATGTTCAGAATTTATAGAGAACTCCGAGAAGCTGCCTAACGCTATGCTGATGCTGATTACCTGGAAAAAGGGAGTGGTGGTAATGTGAGCAAAGGAGAGGACAGATCTGCATTTTCTCCCACAGAGCACCGGGAGGGAATTACCAGAACAAAGTGGCCCCTTTCCCACATCTGCACTCTCTGCACCCCCTCCCCACCCCATCTTCTGTTGAATGGCAAGGATGCTGCCAGGTGAAGCTGGAAACAACCAAAGACCAAGGTTCTTTCACTTCCTTTCTCCCCAGTGCTGCAATTACAGCTGTGGTCGTGCTAGACACATTTTGGAAAAAAACTTTGATGAACAAGACTGTTAAGGTCTCTTTCAGCATTATATGTCTATGAAGTCTTATCTGTACAGGGATTTAGAAAATGAGCAAACTGCTTTTGCAATCTTTTGAGCATAGAGTTCTTTGACTCATACTTAAAAATTGGGAAAGAGGATATTTACTTAAGATAGTGGTTTTCAAATGATTTCTTAAGTAGCAGACTACATTTTTATAAATGAAATTTTACATAGATCCTTAATACATTAAACAGATTAATGTGGCACTCCTCTGGTTGTAGCTAGTGTGGACCTTCCCCTTGCCCTCTAAAGAAGCCCCTGACATCTCTAAGGAACACAACTGGTTTAAGGAGAAAGCAAGTTAATATTTGGATAAATACATATTAGCTCGGTGCAAAAGTAATTGCAGTTTTTGCCATTATTTATAATTACTTTTTATAAATTATTTATAATTACATTATTTTACAATTACTTTTGCACTAACCTAATACATGCATGCATAGATACATACGCACATGAATAAGGAAGAAGGGAAAGCTTTTCCTTGATATGGAGGAAGAGGTGGACTTGGCAAGTCACCACTTTATAACTGTCATGGTAAAGATGGGTTTGAGCAAGAATCATCAATGGATGCTCAACATATAAGGGAAAGTTTGGTAAGAAGCAGGATATTTGCATGATTGTCAAATGTTTCCCCATAGATTGTTTATAAGGGAAAAAAAAAACCACTGCTTGTCAGGGCATAAACATCACTGGTGTGCAGACTTCAAAAATGTGAATGTCATGTAAGACAAAGAAAGGCTGAGGAAGCATTCCACATTAAAAGATAAAAGAGACATGATATCTCAATATAATATATGAATGATCCTTGACTGAAGAGAAAAAAATACTATAAAGGACATTATCAGGACACTGACAACACTTAGAATACGGATCGTCAATTTAATAAAAGTATAATACAAGTGGGCTCCATAGTTCAGTGGTTAGAGCACTGGTCTTGTAATAAAAGTATAATACTGTATCAGTGTTCAGTTTCCTGAATTTGATAACTCTATTGTGGTTATGTAAGAGGATGTCTCTGTTCACTGGAAACACATACTGAAGTATTTGGCCTGAAGGGGACATGATATGTGTAACCTACTCTCAAATAGTTCAGAAAAAAATACATAATGCAATGTATTTACATATACAGAGAACAGTGGTTCTCAAAGTGGATCCCTGAAGGAGCATTAGCATCACCCCAGAACTTGCTAGGAATGCAAATTCTTGGGCCCCACCCAGGCCTACTAAAATCAACTGTCTGGGAGTGGGCCCAGTAGTTTATTTTAATAAGCCCTCTGGGGAATTCTGATGCACACTAAAGTCTGAACACCGCTGATACAGAGAGAATAAAACAAATATGGTGAAATGTTAAAATTGGTAAATCTGGGGAGAGGGTAGGTGGGTTTTGTGTATTGCTATTGAAACTTTTCTGTTTCAAATTGTTTCAAAATAAAAATTAATGACAACAAAACGATTACCCTGGGGTCATCTATGTACAGATGTGGAGAGCAAGAGACCTTGGAGGCAAGGAGACAAATTACGGCTTTCTTGCAGTGACCTACACAGGAAGTAGTGGGATTCGGAACTGAGGTTGCTGCAGCTCTAGTGTAGAGTGAGGAGCGAGGTGTTTGTATAGTCTTCAAACAACAAATCTTGCAGAAAATGTGGGCAGCAAACCTACTAACCTGAATAGGAGAGTCCAGCAATCTCTATAAAGAGGTCTTCTTCAGAAAAGCTTTCGGGGAGCATGAGGAAAGCAGCGGTCACAGCACTCTTCAGATTTTTATCGAGGGCTGATCTAAGAGCGACATTCTCATTCATTGCTACAATTTTTACCTGAAAAGAGGAAGAACGTTCAGAAGAAAAATTCCAGAAGTGTATTGCTCAAGCTATTGGTTTACACATGCAATGGAGCTGTCCCAAACTTAGCCCTGAAGATCTTGGAATATTAGGCTGGTTGACACAAAATAATTATTACTCTACTAAGCAATCCCAGAATCTCCAGTTTTATGCCAAAATCAGAGAAATCATGACACAGGAAAGAAAACAAAATAAATGTTTCTCTTAAATAAGGAAACTCTCCATGAGTTTTGAAAAAGAAGTCAGTACAAATGGAATAAATGTCCTTTGGGAAATTTAATATTTATTTTATAATCTCATTGTTCTTCCCTTTATTTTATGGTGGACAAAGTTATTTTACTTCTTTATTTAGAACTCATCTCTTCTGTTATCCATATATAACCTGAGTAGTTCATGCTCTATTGTGAATTGATTTGGAACTTGACTAAGGAAAAAGGTAAGAAAATTAGCTACAGTAGAAAGAGCATGGGTTTTGGGTATAGGTATGGGCTCAAGTCTAGGTAATCACTAGCTGTATAAATTTGGGCAAACTACTTAACTTCTCATTTGTAAAGTGTGGATAATAGACATGAACCAAAGAACTGTTATAAAGATTGAGTGAGATAATAAATGTAAAGTGCCTAATGTACTAGTGAATGCCTTGATCAATAAAAATTTTTCTCCTGAATACACAGAAGCTGCTTTGACTTTCCCCAAATTCATGAAAATACAAATAGCTCTAGTCTGTTCCGAGATTCTCAGGTTTTTTTTTTAAAGATTTTTATTGGGAAATTGGGGGGATGGGAACGGCGCTGGGGAATTGGGGAAAGGGGAACAGACAAGTTGCTGTTGTTTTGTTCTTCAGTCTCGTTGTGGAGGACGTTGCTTCACTGGCCCAAGCTGGCACCATCATTGCGCTCTTCCCGGGCGAGGCAGATCACTCACCAGCTTCTGGACGGCTGCTCACTGCGGCTGCTGGCTGCTCACGCTGGCTGCTGGCTACATATGGTAGCCCATGGCAACCCACTGCCACAGGGGCTGCAGCCTATGCCGTCGCCGGTGACTCACAGCAGCACAGCTCCAGGTTGAGCTGCTGTTCAGCATCTTAGCTGTGGAGGGCAGCGTCACTGGCCCTCATATGTGGGATCTGAACCGGGGCCCTCTGGAGTCCCAAGCCAGTTCTTAACCATCGCGCCACTTGGCCGGCCCGAGATTCTCAGTTTTAAAGACTGCACTGTAGTTAAGAGAATGTGTTCAAGTCCCACCTCCACCTCTTAACTAGCTCTGAGACCAGGGGCATAATTCCTTATCAATAAAATGGAATTAATAACAGAATCAAGCTCATACGGTTGCTGGGAAGATTAAATGAGATATTACATATGAACCCTTCACTGAATGAGCTTCCGTGTGTGTGTTTCTTGGTGTACACTGGCAAGTTTCTCTGGGCCAGAGGTTCTCACCTTTTGCAACCATCAGAATCACCTGGAGGGCTTGTTGAAACACATATTATTAAGCCCATTTCCCAGAATTTCTGATTCAGTAGGCCTGGGTGGGCCCTGAAAATGTACATTTCTAACAAGTTCCCAGGTAATGTTGATGCTGCTGGTCCAGGGACCCCATTTTGAGAACCACTGTTCTAAGGAACATACTTAGCAGTAGAATTGACAAATTCCTCTCTGGAGTAGTCATGCCAATTTACACTTTTTAAACCATCACGCTGCTGCTGACTTTCTAAACAAGGAAAGGGTCTAGAAGTCCCTAATAAGAACTCCATATATCTGAAACGTGTCCAACATCTCTAAACCCTTAGTGATAGCACCAAATTTTCCTCCAAGTCTAGAAAACAGAATTTAAGTTGCCTTTTATTTGTCGAATAGAGATAATATCTGACAAAATTAAGCTGGCACATAAAAGGCACATACACTAAAAGAAACTCCAGATTAAAATTTTATTAGCAAGGACAGAGAATGATGTATATCTCAAAGTATAGTTTCTTTTTAACATTAATTGTAAAAAGCAATACTATAAAACGTAACTATTTTATAAATCAGGCTTAAGAACCTCAATTCCATCTTTTACCTTCTGTCCCTATTTTTTTCTAAGGGAATACTTATAAAAACCTCTCAGATGGTAGGTAAGCCACTTTATTCAATTCTACCACCTCCTCCCTTGTAATTGCAAGGACTTAATGGACCTTAATTAAGCCTTTCAGCACATAGGTGAGTTTAGTATTATTACAATCATCTGCTGAAAGTAAAACCAAGGCGCAGCCCAGTAGCATGACTTGCCCAAGGTTGCATAATGAGTTGATGGCAAAATCAGGGTAACACCCTTATGCTTGGCAAATCCAGTTATAAATATTTTGAATTATTCTCATACATTCAGTTAGGGATCTGCTCTGGTTAACTTTTTTTTTTTTTAAGGTTTTATTTGGGAATTGGGGAAGGGGAACAGACAAGTTGCTGTCCTTTTGTTCTTCAGTCTAGTTGTGGAGGACGTCGCTTCACTGGCCCATGTTAGTATTATCATTGCGCTCTTCCAGGCTGAGGCAGTTGCTCGCTGGCCATTGGATGGCCACTCACAGCAGCTTATGGCAGCTCACGAAAGCTCACGCCCGCTGCAAACCAGCCCCACTGCAGCCTATGCCGTTGCCAGCGACTCACGGCAGCCTAGCTCCAGGTTGAACTGTTGTTCAGCATCTTAGCTGTAGAGGGCAGTGTCACTGGCCCTCACGTGGGATCCGAACCGGCGCCCTGCTGCTCAGAGCTGGCATCCCAAGCCAACTCCTAAACAATGTGCCACTTGGCCAGCCTAAATTCTCTTCTTGAAAGATGATTAAAACAAATGTTAAGGTCCTATAATAAATCATTGATTCCTTGGATTAACTTTCCCAAACATTGTATTCCATATAGAATCATGGCTCTAGAAGGGTAACCTCCTCTTACCAATGGGGAAAGTGAGGCCCAGAGGGTTAAAAGATTTTCCGAGAAGTAGGGGCACACTGGACAAGGACCTAGGTCCCTGATTCATCTACAACTCTTTCTACAACCCTGTGAAACCTCTTTACTTCCAAATTCTTATTCTTCATCCTCATTCACCAGGTCCTGCTCAATTATTCTTCACCCTCTCTTTTTTTGGGTGGCTTTTACAGAAACTCCATGAAAACAGGAGCTATTTTGAGATGCTAACAAACCAAAGATGCAAAGAAAACAGTAAGTTTGGGGGAATTTTCCAATTCAACGAAATACCACTTTTTTCCAAGAAAGTTGTTCTACTTAGGTTGTAAAAAAGCAGTCTGTTTGCTAAAGTTCAGAGACTATAACTAAAAAGCATCCTTACTCAAAGGAAAAATGTCAATTCAGAAGGCGCTACTGTGCTGATCGGGTTCTCCAGTGTAAGGTGAACTAGGAACTTGTCTCAGCAGCACTGGTATTTGTTGTTCAGAGTGAAAAGCCAATGAACTCCTGGGACACTGCCAGAGAGGCCTGGGAAAAAAGCCCTCAGATTCGTGAATAGTTGTTTGTATCTTACTGGGAATGCCCGACCTGAATCGCATCGATAGCACTGGCACTACTGCCAAGGAGAAAATCTTTACTGGAGAGAGGAAGGGGCAAGTCTTGATGGAACTTCCAAAAAGCCCAACTTGAGAGATTTGTGAGTACCTTTCAAGATAGAAAAAAAGAGCAAGTCACATGTAGCCTCCTCTATAATAGTCACATGGAGACAGTACTTGAATTGCAAAGAGTGAAGTTGTCGTCACAAAGAACACAGCCCTACCTAGTGTTCAAATACTCAACCATTAACCAAATGATACTTCCTGTAATTTTCCATTCCAAATGACCAGAAAGGCTAAATTTTTGTAAATGGTCATTGCTTGAGGGCCAAGAAGACAGTGAACATTCAAGCTGGATGAAAACTTATTATCTACCTGTTGGACTGTGGGCTCTTCCAGGACAAGCAATGTCGTGTTATTTTTTTATTCCTTTGACATAGACAGAGAAAAAAGTTAGCTGCCTTTTCAACATGTAAATAAATGACTCAACCTTTGCATTTCAAAGGCTAGAGGCCCAAAGATTCGAACACAGCTGGGCAGAGCCAAGGGCTAGTAAGCCAGATTTTCCAACTGGTCAGGGACCTTTTACACTGCTGGGATCTTTCTACCCATAAAAAGTAATTCAATAAAGTTACAATATGGTGATGGTTGCAAAACTATGAATATACAAAAACCATTGGATTGTATACTTTAAATGGTTGAATTGTATGGTATGTGAAATGATATCTCAATAAAGCTATTTTTTTTAACTTTATTGGGGAACAATGTATTTTTTCGGGGAAACAATGTGTTTTTTTTCCAGGACGCATCAGCTTCAAGTCAAGCTGTTGTCCTTCAATCTTAGTTGTGAAGGGTGCAGCTCAGTTCCAAGTCCAGTTGCTGCTTTCAATCTAGTTGTGGGGGGCACAGCCACATCCCATGCGGGAGTCAAACTAGCAACCCTGTTAAGAGCACACGTTCTAACCAACTGAGCCATCCGGCCGCCCTGAAACTACTATTTTTAAAAAAGCCATATTACTATCAAATAAAATACGTTGCAATGAATACATTAAATTAAAATCCTCTTAACAAGGTGACAAAATGCCATGTCAATGTGACTGTTTTAAAAATTGAAGCCAAATTATCTATACATTAAAAACAATATGAAGGGAGGTTGGTTAGCTCAGTTGGTTAGAGCACAGTGCTCATAACACCGAGGTTGCCAGTCCAATCCCCACATGGGCCACTGAGCTGCGCCCTCCACAACTAGACTGAAACAACTACTTGACTTGGAGCTGATGGGTCCTGGGAAAACACACTGTTCTCCATTAAAAAAAACCAACCAACCAACCCAATATGAAATATAAAAATCCAAACTTATGTTAAATAAATTAGGGAAATGACTATTAATATTACTTTAGAGTTCTTTTGACTTAAAAAAGAATTGGCCACAAGGTTCTGTTAAATAGTGTGTGTGTGTGTGTGTGTGTGTGTGTGTGTGTGTGTGTGTGTGTATATATATATATTTTTTTTTTCTTCTTTTAATTGGGGAGTTGGGGGATGGGAACAGCGCTGGGGAATTGGGGAAAGGGGAACAGACAAGTTGCTGTCCTTTTGTTCTTCAGTCTAGTTGTGGAGGACCTTGCTTCACTGACCCAAGTTGGCACCATCATTGCGCTCTTCCCGGGTGAGGCAGATCAGTCGCCGGCTTCTGGACAGCCGCTCACACTGGCTGCTGGCTACACATGGTAGCCTATGGCAACCCACTGCAGCAGGGGCTGCAGCCTACACCGTCGTCGGCAACTCATGGCAGCCCAGCTCCAGGTTGAGCTGTTGTTCAGCATCTTAGCTGTAGAGGGCAGTGTCACTGGCCCTCATATGTGGGATCCGATCTGGGGCCCTCTGGCGTCCCAAGCCAGCTCTTAACCAACGCGCCACTTGGCTGGCCCTGAAACGGGATTTTTTGATATGTGATTGTACGGGTGCTGGAATCGTGGTCTTGTGGAACCAAAGAATGGAGACAGACCAGACAGGTAAAGTTGTAGAAAAAGGAGTTTATTAGAAGAAAAAATACATTTCAAAGAAACAGAAGTGGGGCTGAGCAGTAGAGAATGGCTCAAGGGCCATTATTAGAAGAGAAAGTACACTCCAAAGAGTTTGGAGTGGGCTGAACAAAAGAAGCTCAAAAAGCCTAAATACTTTTTAAATAAAAAATTTTTTTTCCAGTTACAGTTGACTCTAATATTATTTTATATTAATTTCAGGTGTATAGCATAGTGTTTATTAAATACTTTAAATTTTATGTTTCTTTACTTAAGAAATGACTTGGTAAATAACTCAGGAACTTAAGGCTACACTAAAAATAAAAATGGGGTATCTCCTTAATCACGAGGTAAGTTAATGGCAAAGTATGATAGAAATTTAATTCACACTCAACTTTTTCCAGAAACGTCCATCTTTTAAAGCAAGGTACTACTCCCTTATATTTCTTTTTTATTAATAAACTTTATTTTTTAGAGCAGTTTTAGTGGAAAGTACAGAGAGTTCCCACACCCCCTGTAAATTTTAAAGACTTAAACTGCTAGTGATTGAGAAATTCTATTCTATTTGCAATGTGCAAGATAATTTTAGAGCTTTAGACAATATAATTTAATGTAACCCCTTTTTTTAAACACATAAAAAACAAAAAATTCACACTTACATTCTCACAATTCTTTCTTAAGACTTTCACCCATTCTTTTTTCTTTTTTTAATTAAAGTTTATTGGGGTGTTAAGACATTCACTCATTCTTTTTGTCTAAAATGCTGCCAACCCTTTCTTTTCATCAGATTTGTTCAGGTTTGATTAATATTTGCTGCCACCTAGAGGTAAAAATTGTTTATTTAAAGATAGTCATGGCTGAGAATTCTCTGGTTAACAGTGATTTCCACTGGAGAGGGAAGTGGGGTATGAGTAGGTGGAAGAGTTAAGTCACCCATTTACGATTTTTGATTTTCTTTTTTAGCATGTGCTGTGGTCAACATTTTCAAATGATTTTTAAGATAGCCTCATTTTCTTGTGCTAGAAGTTTAATAAGCCTGAGGGATAGTCACTGTCACCAGTAACATTTTCCTCTCCAAGTTAGCTGAAAAATGCAATTTTGCATGATATGCGTGTAGCCACTACTACTTGTCTTGAATTGCTGCTTTTGTGTTATCAGGATATATAATATTTAGATGAAATCTGAGGTCATTTCTAGTGCTTACACTCTGAGATTTCATGGTGTTTCTGTTTTCTAAAGCCTCTTTTTAAAAAAGTTTGAAATATCCCAAGCACAAAGTATAGTACAGAGAAAAACACAGCATTTTCATATTCAATATATCATTTTATCTCAAAGAGAAAGGAAAGATCATTTCATGAGTGTCCACTAAGTGCCCGGCCTTTTAGATCTGGGCATTTCTTTTTTTTTTTCATTTTTTAAATTGGGGAACCGTCATGGTCATTGGTTACACATTGCTTTCATGCTACAATGGAATAGTTAACTCTTTTAACTAGATTGAAACAACTACTCGACTTGGAGCTGATGGGTCCTGGAAAAACACACTGTTCCCCCAATAAAATAAAATTTAAAAAAAATTTTTTTTTCAGTGACATTTATTTGCTCAATTATGAGCTTCACTAGTTATCCAGCCTAGAAATGAGAAATTCATCTACATAGATATGAGATTATTTCAGTGAGCCTATTGTTTCTGACATTACTTAAAAATAATGTTTTTACTGAAGTAAAAATTACGTAAAGTATACAAATCTAACAGGAACAGCTTGACAAATTTTTACGTATGGGTATATCCATGTGACTATTGCCCTGATCAAGTGTTTCTAGATGTTTTAATGAGCTACGCCATTAAATTTTAAGCACAGATGCAAGCCAAGAGGATCTTGACCACCGATATATCAATAGAGATTTTTATGATACAACCACGTGAGCTAAGATTGTATAAATTTCTAATTTTTGCCATAACTGACAAAAGGAGGAGCACACAGTCACTCCTTTTGTGAATTCTGAGAAAAATCCATGTACCCTCTTTTGGGGCGTGAGACCTTCTCACAGCACAAAGAAAATTTTTCCTTGCTGTGAGATTAGCAACTGTACTATTTTGCATATTTCTTAAACTATGAAAAGACCCCTTCTCAGAAAATAGACTCTAGATCTGCAAAAAAGGAGAAACGTGATATTTGCAAATACATGTCAAAAGTTCAAGTCCTCTCCACTTTTTTCTGTTTTGTTTGTTTTCTGTTTCTATTAAAGCCCAAGGAGACCACAATGAGATACCACCTAACTCCGGTCAGAATGACTTTCATCAATAAATCAACAAACAACAAATGCTGGCGAGGTTGCGGAGAAAAGGGAACCCTGGTGCACTGTTGGTGGGATTGTAGATTGGAGCAGCCACAATGGAAATCAGTATGGAGATATCTCAAAAAACTGGAAATGGAACTAACTTACAACCGAGCAATTCTACTCTTAGGTATCTATCCAGAGAAACCCAAGACATTAATTCGAAAAAATATATGCACCCCTATGTTCACTGCAGCGATATTTACAATAGCCAAGACTTGGAAACAACCGAAATGCCCATCAGTAGATGGCTGGATTAAGAAACTGTGGTACGTTTATATACTGGAGTATTACTCAGCTATAAAGAAAAATGAAATCGTACCATTTGCAACAATATGTATGGACCTAGAGAACATTATGTTAAGTGAAATAAGTCAGACAGAGAAAGACAAATACCATATGATCTCACTTATATGTAGAATCTAAAAAACTAAATAAATGAGCAAAGTAAACAGAAGTGGTCTCAGAGACATACAGGAAAAACTGATGGTTGCTAGATGGGAGGGGGGGTGGGATGAGGGAGAAGGGGAAGGAATTAGACAGCATAAATTGGTAACTACAATATTGCCATAGGGATATCAAAGACAGTTTGGAGAATATAATCAATAATGTTGTAAATATTTTTGGGTGTTAGATGGACACATGTCTTATTATGGAGGCCACTCCATGGACGGTGTAGAGGCTTGACCACTGCACTGTACACCTGAAGCTGAAGTTGAATAATGTTGTATGTCAACTATAATTTAATAGTCACATGATGTGGAGTATAGTGCGGGGAGTGGAGTCAATGGAATTATAATAGAGATGTATGATATCGGGGTGGGGGCGGTAGATTGGGAGAGGAGGGCTGTCACTTCGTGAGGGGTGAAAAGTATAACAATTGCATTGTTTTGTACACCTGAAACTAAAAAAACCAAACAAACCCAAGGAGACACCTACCCCCGACAGCCTGCTCTAGCAGTATCCCAAATGAGGGGAGGACACTGTGATAGGAAATCAGTGTTAACCTGAGGGGGATAATAAAAGGGATCAGAATCCACCACCCTCAGAATGGCTACCTGGTTCATCCATTTATTCAATAAATATTTGCTGAATGCTTATTATGTGCCAGGCATTGTTCCAGGCACTGCTCAGATACATCAGTGTCAAACAACACCTCATGGTACATTCTAGAAGAGGAGGTGATCTGGGTCGAGCTGACAGAGGCTCCACTGAGGCACTGGGCACTTCTTCTGCAATCCTCCCCAGCCCAAATGGACTAACTCTGAGCCTGATCCATCCACAGAATTGAAGAATCATTAGAGAGAGAGGGAGGAGTAGTGTGGGTAATATCTAGGCATTGTTTGGCAATGAATTCTGCAGGGAGTAAAAGGAGTCTGAAACTCACTTCTATTTCCTGGAGTTCCATCTCATTGAAATCAAAGATCAAAGTCAGGTCAGGTTCAGAGAGGAGAGATATCCCTAATTGTGGCAGCCAATAAAACACTCACCGGTTTTTGGAGTCTTCCAGCAATGTATAAGTTATTCCAGTTGAGGAGATCTTCAATCAAAACACTAGTGCTAACAACCCCATACTTGATAAGCTGGAAAAGAAATGGACATGAAAAAGCAAAATACCATATTGTTGATTATGCAAATGCAAAATATAAGGAAATAAACTTCTGCCCAAAGTAGTCCCTTGATTTCCAAAGCCACCCAAAACACCTACTTTGTAAAAACACATATCACCACCAAAACTTTTCTCAAAGGATTAATTTCCAAGAATGATTTGTCCCCTCAGGTATGTGAGGTGAAGTGACCATGATTTTAACTCAGGCTATTGTGATGCTAAAAGCTCTTAGAGACTATTCAGTATTGGTCCTCAACAGATTGGAAATTTAAAAAAAACCACAGACAGTGTGAGAAGCGACAGCATAATTCATGCTTCCCATTTGAGAAATAAGAAACCGGAGGCTGAGAGAGAGTAAATGATGTGCCCAAAGTGGCACTATTAGTAGCAGAGAAAAAACTAGGTCCCTGAATTTCAGTTTGGGCTTCCAATGTTCATTTCATCACAAAGTACAGGAAAGTTTAATTAAAAGTTTTTTCTGACATCCTTTACATGGTGAATTTCTCTTTCACTGTGGTATATTTCACTTTTATAATTAAAAGCAACATCCAAAGATAAAACCTCTTTATCAGTGCTAAACACATGGAATTATGGTCAAGCTCATTCAACAGTAATTTGTACAAACCCTGAATGAATATAGTTGTTCCAGGTTACAGAATCCCATTTGCTTCAACAAATATCTTTGGACTCACTCTGCTGACTGTCAGTATCCCAACAGCCTTCTTAGGCTGCAAATATCTAAAAAGTAGCTAAAGAATTTTAATTAAAAAGTACAGTCCCATTGGCATATAATTATGCCCAAACATTTAGTTACTGGAGCTTGTAATATTGTTTAAAACTACTAATTAGAGATAGACTCAGCATAATATTAATTATGGGGAAAGAACAAAGCTACGTGTTAGGCATAGCACATAGGACATGGAAGGCTGTGCTGAATAACCTACTTATTATAACCAGAGTGGAGGCACTCTGGTTATAGTATGCAGAAAGCCCTTCTTGCTGTAGACACGTAACAGGTGGGAGGCAAAAGAAACACCGCTGGCCTGGAAGTCAGGGTCACTAACTAGCTGCATGACCTTATGAAAGTCTTTTCCTTTCTCTGAACCTTGGTTTTCTCATCTGCAAAGTGCAAGTGGAGCAAGATTGGACCTCAACCAGAAAAGTAAATATATGGCCCAGAGGCTATGCAGACATTACCAGTCAATCACAGCACTCATTCCTGCCAAGTTCAGATAGGTCTTCAAAATCCTTGTCAAGTCAGTACTCCAACCTCCTGCCCTTCAAAGTGTGGTCCACTGACCAGTAGCATCAGCATCACCTGGGAGCTTGTAAAAAAATGCAGAATCTCAGGTTCCATTCCAGACCAACTGAATCAGAGTCTGCGTTTCAACAAGATCCTCAGGCGATTCATCTGCCCATCAAAGTGTGACTGCCCTAAGCAATCAGCAGCATCCAGCAGTGTTGGCACAGCTGGTAGAACCGATATGTCATGCCTCGCCCAGCTTATCTGTAGGAGCCACCTGATTTAGTCCCCCTTGGTCCTCTTAGGCTGGAATCCTGCCTAGTCTTGGCAGCCCTCTTAGAGATTGGGCCCCTTCATCTGAAAGACAGTTCAGCAGGGTACCTGCCGTCAGACAACCCTCTACTGGAATCTGTGCATCTTACCTGCTCTTCAATACTCCATTGTCAAATTCCACCCACCTGCTAGCACCACATGCTCCAACTAACTATGATATTCTCTTCACTTTCAAATTCTTCCTGGGAGTGTCGGCCCTTCCGTCTAGATCAGGGGTCAGCAAACTTTTGAGACGGAAGAGCTGCCAGGGGTCAGCAAACTGCAGCTCACGAGCCACATGCGGCTCTTTGGGTACGTACACGTGGCTCTGAAGTAAAATTGAAAATGAAAATAAAACTATCATAGTTTCATTTATAAAATTTTTACAGGATATTATTCACATAATGGTGATTATGTAAAAAATATATTTATGGCTCTCGAATAATTTTTAAATTGTGAGGGACAGGATTGGTTCTTCCAGGGGTCAGCAAACTTTTGAGACGGAACGTACCCAAAGAGCCGCATGTGGCTCGCAAGCCGCAGTTTGCGACCCCTGGTCTAGATAAGACTAATTTCCAACCTGACCCTTAATAGGCTTGCCTATTCCTCCCACTGACCAAACCATTGGTTCACAAAGTGTGTTTTTCAGATTTGCAGCATCAGTATCATTTGGAAACTTGTTAGAAATGCAAATCCTGGGTCGGCCAAGTGGCGCGTTGGTTAAGAGCTAGCTTGGGACGCCAGAGGGCCCCAGTTCAGATCCCACATATGAGGGCCAGTGACACTGCCCTCTACAGCTAAGATGCTGAACAACAGCTCAACCTGGAGCTGGGCTGCCATGAGTTGCCAGCAATGGCATAGGCTGCAGCCCCTGCTGCAGTAGGTTGCCATGGGCTACCGTGTGTAGCCAGCAGCCACCGTGAGCAGCCGTCCAGAAGTTGGCGACTGATCTGCCTCACCCGAGAAGAGTGCAATGATGGTGCCAACTTGGGTCAGTGAAGCAAGGTCCTCCACAACTAGACTGAAGAACAAAAGGACAGCAACTTGTCTGTTCTCCTTCCTCCAATTCCCCAGTGCTGTTCCCATCCCCCAATTCCCCAATAAAAAATCTTAAAAAAAAAAAAGAAATGCAAATCCTCATTGCTAAGAGGGTAAATCTTAAAAGTTCTCATCACAAGAAAGAAAAAAGTAACTATGTGTGGCAATGGATATTAACTAGACTTATCGTGGTAATTATCTCATAATATACACATATATTTATGTTGTACACCTAAAATTAATACAATGTTACATAAAAATTATATCTCAATTTTAAAAAGTGCAATTCAAACCCCACCCCAGACCTATTGATATTCAGAAATTCTAGGGTGGGGCTCAGCAACCTGTGTATCCAACAAGCACTCTAGGGGGTTTTGCTGCACATTAAAATTTGAGAATCACTTGGCCAAAGGCAAAAAATAAAGACCATCACACTTGACCACCTTCATCCAGCAGGAGCCTGAACATTTCCTGACTGCAAGAACATACATATTCAGCTGGTATTCTAATAACAAAGGTTAATAACAACCCAAGTTAAGCCGAAGGGCCAAAGTCACTTACCCTACCATCACACATGATCAATGGGTTGTAGTAAACTCCAGCGCCATAGTTATTCTGGACAGCGGTGATAAACTTGGGCCCCAAAACTTTTAGGAAAGAGTAATGGTTCCAGTTTTTCTTCAGATTCTTTGAATGCCATGCAACAGGATCATCTACTGTGAACACAAAGTCCAGCATGGCATTCTGGGAGGTGAAGAGAGAGAGAATGATTTTAGCTTTAATTCCTGGAAACGCACCTAGATAGAGTAGAAAGCTCTAATACCCTATGCCATTATGATTAATAAAAGACCTGGGGTTGTCATCAGAAATTTAAGCAAGTCTCTGGAACCAATGCGAGCTTTGTTTTCATCAATACACATAATAATAGCAATGCCTACTGAACATGTATTGTCAGGCCAGGACTATTCTAAACACTTTATATATTAATATATACAGTAACTCATTTTATCCTCAAAACAATCCTACAAGGTAGGTACTGTTACTATCCCAATTTTATAGGAAAGGAAACCAAGGCACAGAGGAAGTTCCTTGCCCAAGGACACACAGCTAGTGGGTGGCAGAGTCTGGTTCCAAATTCTGTGTGCTGAACCACACTGCCTTTCACCTAAATGTTGCTGAATATACTCCTCCCCTTGTCTTCCAGGTGAAATAACCTCGTATAGATAAGCTCTACAAAGAATCATGTAAAGGGAAATGTTATTTTAACTCTCACCTATTCATCAACCACTCACTGAGAAACTACAATGAGCTCTGATAGGTCCTGGGGTAAGTCTGCTGGAAGAACAAATTATCACTACATGGACTTGATAGAGGAATGCAAAATGTGCTAATTGCACTCAAAATTGGGTCAGAACAGGAAAGAGAAATTTCCTATAAAATTACATTCTCCAAGATTCATACATCTGAGTCTCGAAGAATGTGCACGAGTTAAGCAGGCGTGGTGGAAGTGTCAGGAGAAGTGTTGGGAAGGGGACGGAGTCCTGTCAGAGGGAAACACTGCTGTGGATATGAGAGCTGGGCATGTTGTGAGTGCTGCCTTTGGTTTGATGTGGCGGGGGTAGAAATGCAGGCAAGGGAATGGTGGGAGAGGAGATCAGAGACAGACACTGGTTGTCATGCTAAGAAATTTTCCTGCAGAAGAGCTCCCTGGAGGGAGGAGAGAATCAAGGCCAGAAAACCACACAGAAGGCTAACTGCAAGATTCCAGCTGAAAAAAGAAAAGGCACTGAAAGGTAGGGATTGATCTGAGAGAGATTTAGGTGTTGGAATCTACAAGACTTGTTAACTTTCAGGGAATGAGGGTGAAGGAAAGGAGAGGAAGGACCTTTCCTTGAAGGGAATTCCGTGTCTACTCAGAGGAAAACTTTCATGGAAAAATGAAGAGGTGACTACAGAATTAGGAGGTGAAGGCCGCTCTGAGTTTCCCACAATCATATCCACAAACCACTGGTGACACATAAGATTTGGGGAGGACATGTTTTTTACACATTTATAATTATGTTAATATATTTAGAAAAAAATAAGACTATAATCTATAATTTCTTATATATCTATAATCTGTTAATTTCTCATATGCTGTCAGTTTAAAGAAAATTATTACTTAAATACTAGTATAAGTGGGAAACAACAAATCCAAGCAACAGTATAGATGGCCAGACAGATTAGGGCCAGGTATCCGAACCCAGGAGGCCCTATTGCAATCTGCACACTTTCATTTTCTTAGTGTATTAAAGATGACAATGAACTGTTCGGCTGTGCATGGACTACGGCAAGTAGAAATCTAGGTCAGAACACAATTGCGCACACAGAGAACACCCTTATTTAGACTTTTGCTCCTCTTACGTTAATTCGGCAAAAGCTCTAAAACCTTGGCAGAAAAATCAGTAACAGCTTCATTTAAATGGAAAGTATCTGCCTGCCACTCTTCTGCTGTCTTGAATCTTGTTTCTACCTTGGAAGCAAACTTTATTTTCCCTTTACTTTCAGAAAAAAAGTCTGCAATCACAAGGAAAACTACGCTCACTGCTGTGGCTCAGCCAACTTTGAAGAGTAAGTAATAATGCCTAGTCCTAAATGGACTCTTGTTAAATGTCCTGAGCATGGGTAAATATCCTGGTCACCCACTAACTGTTGCTCTTAGTTAACTTCCCTGCACCTGCTCTGGATCTACAGCCAGTCTGTCAGCTTCCTGAAGTCGGGAAGGTCATTTTGTATTTTCTCCTACAGATTGGGAATAGACAATGAGTGACTCTCAGGCAGGGCTGACCATTAAAATCACCTGGTTTTGAAATTCCCGAAGCCCAAGCATCATCCCAGACCAGTTAAAACAGAATCTCCACAGGTGGAACCCAGGCATCAGTATTTTTTTTAAAGCTTCCCAGAGAACTCCAATGTTCAGCCAAGGCTCGGAACACTGAACTAGAGCCTGGCAAATACTTCTTTTCCTTTCTTCCATTTTGCCTCTGCATAATTCATTGCATCTCCCACTCCAGACCGACGTGGACTCCTACTTATCCTTCAAAACTCAGCACACGCTATCCTTATTACTAGGAACCCTTTCATACGGTTTGTACTTGACTAGTTGACACGTGGAGTGCGCAGGCAGGCAGCTGCAGGGCTCTGGAGGAATCCAAGGCAAAAGAGCACTCGTGAGAACGGGCCCACTTTCGGCATGGGGCTCGCCGGGCTCACCTTCTGGTTTGAACTGGGCCCCGCCTGGCGGTACACTCCGGAGCCATAAGCGAAAGCCAGGCTCAACTCCTCGGGGAAGTGAGACAGGATCTTGCGGAAGGCCACCCCCGAGCTCTGCAGCGCCATGGGGCCGAGGCTCAGAGAAAGGGACCCTTGGCAGAACAGGGCAGGGCAGAGGGCAGAGGAGCGCGAACGAATACCAGGTGGGCGGTTAAAGGTGGGGAGATGTAAGTCGGGGACCTGCCCGAACCGGAGAAGGCTGGGGCCGGGGGTGGGGAATGGGAACTGTAGGGACCCGCAAGGACCAGGGAGACAGTCATGCCAAGGAGCCGCCAACCCCGGCCACGCCTCTCTCTCTCACGCAACCCGCTTCAAAAGCGCAAGAGAAGGCGCTCACCCGCGTGTGAGGACGCGAGGGCTTCGCAGAGACCTCTGGTGGTCGGAGGAGCGCGCTGCAGGCTCGCAGCCAAGGACTGTGACTTGAACATATGGGGAGGGGAGAATGTCAGCTAATTGAACGGCTTTTGAGCCTTAAGAATCCTTTTTTTGTTCTCGCCTCAAAGCCACATTTTAATAAACGACTGTAAAAACCATGCGTGTGTATTGCAGAATCTTTTTAATGAGTTGAAATTCACATAACAAAATTGTACACTTTCTGTACAATTCAGTGACATTTAGTACATTCACAATGTTGTGCAAACATTATCTCTATCCAGCTCCAAAACTGTAGAAGATTTTCAAGGTTTAGGAAAAACACAAATAGATTAAAAATCATGCCCAATTCCACCACCCAGAGATTATCACTGTTAAGGTTTGTCTGTGATTTCTTCCCATCAAAGCCCTTTTCAAGTCTGATGACAGGTATGAAAGGGTTTCATAAATGGCAAAGGACTGCACCAATGTTCTCTGATATTGGTATTTAATTTTAAGGGTGGAGAAGAATCTCTGCTCCTTTTTCCTTGGGGATTGGTCTCACAAAAGGCACATTAAATGTTCCCTGGGAGGAAACGGGACCCCAGGTGAGAGCTCACCTCTTGACATATAACTAGATAAACATGCTCAAGATCACAGGGCCATTCAGGATGTAGTTTGATTTTCAGGACAGAATCTTTTCAGATACTCTTTCTTGCTTCCCTACGCACACTGCCTCTCAAATATAACAGAAGTAGTAATAGCTAGATTTGGGTAATGTTGATGCATTTCACATGCATTTTTTATTGAGTTCTCTCTACTGCCCTGTGGGAGGAGGTTATTGCCTTCATTTTAGAGGTAAAAAAGCTAAGGCTTAGACTAAGAGAGAAAGCAGTGTGCTTAGGATCACATTGGCCTGTGGCAAAACAGAGCTAAAACCCAGGTCTGGCTCCACGTTCTACAATTCTACTCTATCCTTGAAGAGTTTTAAGCAGGGACCTGCCAGGCTCAAATGTTAGCCTGGCTTGCAGTGGGGAAAGAAGAGGCTGAGAGACCAGTTAGGAAGCTGTTGCCATAGTCTGACCATAAACTAAAGACACCTGGCCTGAGGTGATAGAGGCAGGAATGGGATTAATTCAATTTGAAAAATGATTATTTGGATTCAAACCCTGGGCCTGGCACTGAGGTAAGTGCTGAGGATTTGAGATGACTAGAACAGGGCTGCTGTCTCACAGGAGTTAGGGTCTGTGGAGGAGATAGATAAGCAAACCCAGAATACAGTGTACAGTGTGAAGTTGGGTACCCAGCGCCCTGCAGGACCTCTGAAGAGGGAGTATTAATCAGTTCTGAGTGTGCGAGGAGAGACCAGAGGAGGTTTCGCAGGAATGGCACCTGAGCCAGGCTTCCAAAGATGAGTAGGAGTTTATGAGACAGAAGATAGATGGGAGAGATTCTACCAAGGAAGAATTGATAGGACACGGTGACAATAGTAACAGGTGACATTTGTTTATTTACTATTCCCAAGCACTTTCTATCCTTATCTCTTTTCATCATTCCAAAGATCCCATGAGGCAGGTTCTCTTAAGAGTATCGTTTTTTTTTTTCTACATGAAGAAACAGAGTGCCTGAAAGGAAAAGCAAATTTCTTAAAGTCACAGTTAGGGGATTTGAACCCAGGACTCCTGAACTCCAAAAGCTAAGCTCTTTACCACTTGGTTTTAGTGCCTTCTAAAATAGGCAATTTGTGAGGCAAGAGGGAGATGTGGGAAATCAGCTGGTTCTACTCCATCAGCCAAGGTCAAAGAGCAGCAGCAGTAGCCAAGGGGACAGCTGAGACCAGGCAGGATACAGTTGACAGGAGGGAAATACAGTGTGTTTCAGCCTATCAATGTGAGCATAATCATTCTGGTTCCTTCTGACTAAATATCACCCTTGCCCAATTGCCAGAATCTGAAATGCAATTACTGCAGAATTACACTGAAACCTTTCACCCAAAGACAGTGAATAAATCTCTACCAGCCGTGTTACTTTTTTTCCCCTTGAAATAATAATTCAAAACTCTGTTTTTTTCTTTTTTCTTTTGCCCTCTCTCTTTTTTTTAAAATTTTTTTTATTGTTAGTTTCAGGTGTACAGAACAATGCAATAGTTATCCTTTTCACCCCCCTCTCCCCATCTATTGCCCTCCCCCCTGATATCATGCTTATCTATTACAATTCCATTGACTTCATTCCCATTCTCTACTCCATGTCCCGTGACTATATGTATATATAATTATAGTTGACATACAATATTATTCAACATCAGCTTCAGAAATACAGTGCCCTCTCTCTTTGCAAAAGTAATCCATGCTCATAAAAATGTAAACACTATAAAATTATGTATACCATTCCCCAGAGATAGCCACTGATAATCTTTAGTACATATTCCTCCAGATATTTTTCAATGAATATATTAACATTAAAAACATTTTCAAATGGAATTGTAGGATAGAAATATATCAGGGACATCTTCTCATGTCAGAATATATAGATCTATCTCATTCTATTTATTAGCAGCAAATTTTTCTAAATACGGATATGCTATCATTTGTTTAAATGTTTTCGTGTTAACAGATATAGAGTATTTCCATTTTTCATACATGCAAACAATGCTACAGTGAACATCCTTACATGTATACCTCTGTGTATATGTGCAAGTATTGCTATAAAGTAGATTCCTAGAAGTGGAATTGCTGGCTCAAAGTATCAGCACATTGCTCAAATCCCCTAGAAAAGATTGTACCAATACACACTCCTACCAGTGGGGTTCAGCCCTTGATATAAATAAAGGTTCTGCAGTTTCTCCATTTCTCAGTCTTACTCGTACAGGCTTTCACACCTAATTATCAGTCATTGTCACAAACATTTTCTTCCCTGATAATGCAAAATCACCAGCTGGAAAGTTCCATCATATTCCTGTGTGCATTTTGCTTCTACCCAGAAAGAGGCAGAAGCAATGTAGCAGAGAATACATTTGTATTTTCCAGCAGAAATCTCCCTGCTCCTAGCAGTTCATCCGCTCCCTTTTAAATTACCGTGACTTGCGAAGTTAGAAGATATTAAAAAGCGCTAGTGTTTTATCTATTTGCTTTAGGGTTCTATTGAAACTCTCATACCAATGTAGTAAGAACATTAGAGAGCCATTTAAAAATACAGATAAATGCCACTTGATTTGAGTGAATGTGGGGCCTCATTTTTCTGATTTATCCAGCTGTTGGCTTTGTATCCCTTAACAATGACTTTGTCAGGCTAGATTTCACCAGGAGAATGTTCATCTATTTCATTTTTTTTATAAAGCCCTGTAAAACCTCTATAACCTTTATTCCTCAGTTTTTCTTCTAATTAGTGTTTAAATAAAGGACACAAAATGTTTGGGAAAAAGTTCCAAGCTCTGTGGTTCTTAGAATTAACTCCATGTTCAATTTATCTGTTGATGGAGGTGAGGGAGGGGGATCTTGATCTCCATCTCATCAGAGGAGGATCACCCTATCACGTGTGTCCACTCTCTGTTGATTGATGTATCATAACTCGGCCAGATTGAGAGCATCTTTAATACATCTTTAGTCTCTGAGGTACCACCTGGGTTTGAATTTTGGCCCCAGGAGTTAATAGCTGTGTGACCTTGAGCAAGACAACTGAAGCTCTCTGTGCCCTCTTTTCCTCATTTGTAGAATGGGCAGAGTAATAATACCTACTTTATGGGATTGCTGGGACCGTAACTGCAATATTAATAGTATCCCAAAAGTACATAGAATGGTGCCTACCCCAGAGTAAGCTCTCAATAAATGTTTTCCATCTTATTGAATTCTTAAGAGACAATGTGCAAGAGGAATTCAGAAGCATAGTTATACCTAAGTCTTTATGGCATTTAGCATTTTACACTAAGCACTTTTCCAGACATGATTTTATTTAATGCTTAAAACAAATCCGGGGAAATAAGTGGATATTATTCTAATTTTACAGAGGGATAAACTGAAGGATAGAAAAATGAAGTAATTTGCCTGAAGTCACGACTAATTAATGGCAACCCTGCCAATATAGTCTACAAGTCAAATTCTTCTCCTCTTGCACCATAAAAATAACACAAATCGATAATTTCCCTGAGGGATTCATTCATTCTCCCATTGAAATCTTCTCATCCTTTAGTCCCAGCTCAAATATCACCTCTTTTTAATCAGAAGTAATTTTTATTGGTCCTCTGTGCCCACATAACCCTTTGCTTATAGCTTTCCAGCCCTTGTTTTAAATATCAGATATGTCTATCAAGAACAGTTATAGAAAGCTTGGGGACTCTGAAATCAGGGACCATATCTCATTCATCTTTCTACATTTTAGGGCCAAGCATAGTGCCTGAAACACTTTCTGCAATTGAGAATATAACAGGCTGATAACAAAAACTAAACATATATCCAAAGCAATTATAGTAAAATACAGACAACATCTGCACCACAAATGTGGTAAGACAGCTCTTCAGGTTTCCTGAGAAAGCTTCTTGGGTGGGAGGTTGATATTTGGGCTAGATCTTGAAAGATGACCAGAAGTTCACTAGATAGGAAAGAGTAGTGAAAACATTCTAAGGATAAATAACAGCTTCTACACCAGGTCTTGGAATTCTCACTCTGGAAGAACACTGTGTTTACCAATGGAGTTATAGAAGACCACAGACTCTTAATACCCAAGATATTAGTGAATAATGGCAGAATTTCGGGGAACAGAGTAGAAATCTCATCTAACCGACAATATAATATAGTGGTCAAGTGTGGAAACTCGGGGGGCCGGCCAAGTGGTGCGTTGGGTAAGAGTTGGCTTGGGACGCCACTCTGAGCAGCAGAGCCCTGGTTCGGATCCCACATGAGGGCCAGTGATGCTGCACCCTCTACAGCTAAG